AGTCCGCCTAGTTAATGTAAGGACAGTTATTAACACTTAATTTCTCTCTGCATCTTGGGCTATGTCGTTTCTAAATAATCACTCGATATATATTTAAATATATATATATATTTATTTACCTAAAATCAAGTTGTTTCTGGATGAGGATTTCTAGTAATAAAGTTGCTAAGATATCAACCTTGGCTATTTACAAACTAAAATTAATAATTTTTTTATTTTTTAAAAAGTCAAGTTCACAATCTTACTTCAATGGCATTTCTGTAACAAAATCAGATATAAGCTTGTAATGTAAAATATGAATGTAACTTAATCTTACAAACGAGCACCAGGTATAAAATTTACCTCGGTTCTCTGACGTCCTGATACAGAAAGTCACTATCTACATTTTAAGTCGAACGGAGATCTATAATTTATATATTTATACTAATGCATTTGTATTAGTTCCTTTTTTTCTTTTTTGGAAAAAATTACATTTTTAAAAAAATTTCATTCTTTTTGGATAAAATGAACACTCTTTAGGTATCGATTATGGATTGCATAGTTAAATGAAAATTTTTATTACGAATTCAACGGTATAAAAACTTATTTTTAATTAAAAATGTTGATAGTAACTTTCTTCGTCAGTACGGTAGTACTGATAAGACACTGGAAAGTTTTTATAATTACTGGCCAGTAACTAGCTAGAAAATCTGACAAGCGAATGATTAAAGATGTAACCTGTTGTTTTTTGCAGTCACTGGTTAGATTATACAGTACCACAAAATTTTTTTAAAGGAATTATTGACCGCACCATGTTTTTTATATGTTTTTTGGGTCGCTGAATTCGAATCCAAACTTAGTTTTCCGACATCACGTCAAGTTTCTTCTTCTTCGTAAAATACTGACTGTAAACAAGATATAAATAAAAATAAGCAGAAGAATCTATTAAAAGACAACTTTAACACACTGAAAAAATATTATATATTATTAAGCAATCAAAAAAACTCGTAAATATTTAAAATTTAAGATGGCGGATCCAATATAGCGTCAATTTTTTTTAAATTTATCCAATTCGCCTGAAACGTTATACTCGGGGGTTTTTTGGGGTCGTTGAATACGAATTTCACCTTAGTTTAAAAAAATTCAAAATCTGATAAATTTTTAAAAAAATTGTTAGCCATATTGAATCAGCTATTTTAAATTTTTGAAAACTAAGGTGAAATTCGTATTTAGCGACCCCAAAAAAAATTCTTCAGCTATATTGGATCCGCCATTTTGATTTTTAAAAAACTAAGGTTAAATAATTGTCATATACATACTTTGCGTGTAAAAATCAATCCATGTGTAAAACATCTATCAAAGAATGAGCCAAATCTATTAATTTCTGAACAAAACCATATAAACCGGGTAGAAATATTTACACTGAGAAAAAAGGTTTGTTGGGACAACCATTTTTTCTTGGATAAGATATAATTGGATGCAATGTCCAATAAAAAATGTGTTATAACTGACGCAGATAGTTGCAGTATCTATTTTAATTGGTTCTATTTAAAATTGATACTGCAACTATTGTTTAGATACTAGAACCAACGAGTTGGCTAGGGCAACAATCTTGTAAGTGACACTAGAAAAAGGTCCAACGAGGTGGCCAGCACAACCAACAAGTTGGCAAGGACAGGTAACTTGAAAGTGGAAACAGCAAAAGGTTTTTAGCGCAGACGCATAGATGCAATTTTCGTGCATCTAGTATTGCGGAAATGAGGCCCAGCGCAAGCGCCTAAATCGATACCCTGGGCCTGTGCGAATAGACAACAGCATCTTCTACTACGCCCACGCCATTTTGCGTCAGTTGTCTATGAGACATTGAGTGTTTGTTCTAAAGTCGCAGCTAAAAAATTTTATTATTTATAAGTTTAAAATGGTTTTCAAAATTGAAATTTTTTAACATTAATTAAGAAAAGTGAATTTTTAATTCTGTGAAAAATGGATCTGGCAGCAAAGCATTTTCTAAATGAATTTAATTTATTCTGCTTAATCAAAAAGTTTGAAGGTAAGTTTCATTTCGCATTACGCTTGGAATTTGTTATATTTATTAATTTTGTGAGTTAACTGGCAAAATAAAAAGCTTTCATGTTTGACTCGTAAAAGAATAAAACGTAGAATGAAAAGTATACAATGTAAGAAAGTATCATTATTACACTGTGAGAAAGCATTATCTTGTTTCGGCGTGAAAGCGTCTTTGTCGGCCTTTGTCGCCATTGTGGCTTACGGTCCCCATTGGCGATTTCACGCCTACTTAGAAAGACACCTTATAGACAAGCGGCGACCACATAAAACCGAAGTAAAATGGAGCGAATCTTATGTTTAATACAAAAATCTGAAGTGATTTAAAATGACGTTAAAAACATTCAAAACTAGACTTTTGTAACAAAAAAAAATGTTTTTTCTGGACTTAGAAAAATTTTTGGTCAAAGGGGGAGTGGTTCGACCAGAAAAAAGTATCACTTAATGTTTATTTCAAGTGATTTAAAATGACGTTAAAAACATTCTAAACCCCAAAAATAACAATTTTTAATATAAAGTTTAATATTCTTCTAATTAGGAAGAGTTTTTGACTGCGAGAGAGAGAGAGAGAGAGAGAGAGAGAGAGAGAGAGAAATAATTGAAAATATTTTTGTAAATCAAAAACAATTTTTTTCAGATGAATTTATCGATTATGAAACCCTGATTAGTCTCGAAAAAGAAGATTTAGAAAAACGAAACATCCAGTTCGGGTTGCAAAAAAAATTTATAAATGCCCTGGATTCTCACTTGAATTATTTAAGAAGCGCGGTGTAATAAAATTTATTTATTTATTTTAATTATATTATATTTAAAAAAAAATGGAATCTTTTCTACAAGTTAAAAAAATCATTATTAAATAAATTGATTGTTTTTAAAAATTAATAATTTTTTAATAAAACATGATCAAACCATTGCTGTATGTGGTTTCAGGCATATTTCATTTTATACCACTTTCAGATGATTTTCAGTTGTTTGTCCCAACAATTTAAAAAAATAATATTTGAAAATAATTTTTTTTATTTATAACAATAGAAATGTAATTTTATTTTTGTATTATTTAAAATCAGATTCAAGATTCATGTATACTTTACTCTATAAAACTGAATCAGTGAAATTTTACTAAGAATCAGTGACTCTATTCTTATCATTTCAAACAGTGAAATTTCACTGAAAATTAGTTAAAAATGATTGAAACATCAATTATTTTTCACTGATTGGGCAATTAAAAAATTACAATTACAAGATTCATGTATACTTTACTCTATAAAACTGAATCAGTAAAATTTCACTAAGAATCAGTGACTCCATTCTTATCATTTCAAACAGTGAAATTTCACTGAAAATTAGTTAAAAATGATTGAAACATCAATCATTTTTCACTGATTGGTCAATTAAAAAATAATTGAAATTTTTAATATGCTTTACTAAAATATTTAATTATTTTTTAATTGGCTAATCAGTGAAGAATGACTGATTTTTTAATCGTTTTTAATAGATTTACAGTGAAATTTCACTAATTGAAATCGTGAGAATATGTCAATCATTCTCAGTAAAATTTCCCTGATCTTCAGTAGAATTTTACTGATTCATATTAGAAGAGCAATAATAAATAATTATTTATTTTGCGACTATCTACCTTTAGAGTGCTTTAACTGATGATGATGAAACTGTACATGAAAATGAAATTCAAAATCGAATGCACATGAAAAGGGCTGCTAATTTAATAACTGAAGGTTTGACTCATGAAAATAGTAGCAACAATGAAGAAACACCTCTGAATCAAGAAAATGCAGTGGTAGCCGAAAATGTTTCTGAATCGGGAGATCACCAAAGAAACAAAAATCTGTTTTCAGAAAGAAATAACAATGTAGAACCACCTCTGAAAAAATTCAGGAATCAGATCAATTATTCTGATGTGCCAAATGTTAGTTTCTGCATATAATTCTACAGTGGAGTGGTTTTTATTTTTTTACAATTTCACCTCTTTATATTATTATGCGTCAAACATAATGCATTTGAATTTTACAGTCAGTATATGAGTACTTGCAAGCTAGCTGCAAAGGAAAAAAATTCATTGGCTTGTATGAAAGAGGACATTTTAATGAAACTGTGCGATCCAATCTCTCGCTCAGTATATTGTTGATTGTGAACTCAATGTCGACCAAGATCCAGATAAAGTGTAAGTGTATATATTATTATATAATATTTATTTTAAATATTTCGGAAAACAATTCTAACATCCTTTTTTTAATTGAATATATAGAATCAAAGCAAATAGGTTTATGGAACTAAGAAGCGAGATAGTTCAAATTTTTCAAAAGAAGTCGTGGTAAGTAGTGTGTATTCTACTTATTTTACTGTAAGTTTAAATTTATAAATATTTATTATTAAACATTTAAATTATTTTTTACAGTCTACTTATTACGTACCGCGAATACCCAAAAGTTCCATAGAAGGTGCTAAACAACCAAAGGGAAAAATTTATGACAAATACACAAGTACCATAAGGGAATTAAGACTTGCAGGACTGAGGAAAAAGGAAACAGAGAATGTTGTCGAAGATAACGTACAAATTGAGGGTCAGTATTACGGTTTTTTAAATGTTCTTTGAATTTATGTGCCCTTTAAACTTCACTTATTTAAATTAACCATTTTTCAGAATTTAATGCAACAGTGACTGGAGATTTAGCGTGGCTACGAAGATGTTTTTGAGCCGGAAACTGAAGTCACGGAAAGGTCGAAGAATACTTCTCGTATTCGTCTTCAGTCATTAAGAGTTTCTGAAAACATGAAAACGGGAAGTCGTAAGATATTGGACAATTTAACGAAGTATTTTAATGAGTATAAAGCATTGAGGCAGCCTAAAGGATATGCGCTTGTAAATTTTTTGTGTGCTCACATTTTTCTAAAAATAGAAATATTATTTTATAAAATATTTTAAAATCTAGTGTTTAAATTTTTCTTATATTTTCCAGTTGCAAATAGACTTCAATTTCTTACATGCCGAAAGTAATTTGAAGTTGATCGAAAACTGGGCCGAAATAGCAGTAAGAATAAAATCTATGTCTAATGTCGAGCCAATTTTTAAGGATACAATTCGTAAGTAAAACTTTTAAGATTTCTATTGCTTAAATTTTTGTAGCAAATTTTGATTAGTGATTTTTTACAGAAGATACAGTCGAAACCTTGCTTCTCATCCAAAAATTATTTGGACCTATTCATGTTGGAAAATGGAAAACATCTGCAGTCAATATCTTGAGTGGCTTTCTTTTACACGTAAATGTAAGATATTTCTATATTTCATTTTCTTTTTTTAGTAACTTCAATCTTCCATATTAAATAATGAAATATTACCAGTAAAATTTAAACCAATCAAAATTGACCTCTATTAGGAACTTAGAAAAATTTTCTAACAAATGTTTATTTCAATTGTTCTAAAATGTCATTTAAAACATTCTAAACTAAACTTTTAAAAAAAAAAATTTTTTTTTGGACTTAGAAAAATTTTGAACCAAAGGATGAGTGGTTCGATCGAAAAAAAATGTCACTTAATGTTTTTTTTTAATTGATTTAAAACATTCGAAACTAGACTTTTTTAACAAAAAATTTTTTTTTTCTGAACTTAGATACATTTTTGACCAAAGGATGTAGTTTTATTCTCTGTTACTTCTTTCTAGGATACAAATGGAATAGAGGTAGCTGTCCAGCGTTTAAAGGATAAATTAAATTCCGTTAAGAGGACCTTGCAGCCATTCCCAATTGTTGTTGGACCAGATTTTCAGAGCATCACAGATTCTTATGTGATGTATGCTTTAAAGCATATCACGCCCTCCATGCGTATTACCCACATCAGAGTGCGAATCCGTGGTTTTTTCTGCAAAAAGCTGTTTATGGCATAACAACCAAGTGGGATGCTCAAATACCTTCGGTTGAGATGATGATCAAAGAATATAAGGATCTAGAAGCTTTAACTTAGAATTGTATAAGCTTTCAAAATGCCTCACTGCCCAGTATGTCGTGCAAAGGTTTTATCCATACATTCCTTAAATCTGCATTTAAAAATTAATCATCTGCATGAAGTGCTCACTTCATATAAATGTCAAGAACCCAACTGCTACAGGGACTTTTGCAATTGGAAGTCTTTTAAAAAACATCTCGTAAATTTTCACAATTGCTTTGCATATAATCGTGATTCTGAGGTTTCTTGTGGCATGGATGAAATTAGTGTGCCTTCAGATAGCAAAGATATTGAAAATTTAGATAATTTTACTCTTAACAGGGAAATATCAGATTCTGAAGTAAAAATTACTCCTTTAACGCCTAAAAATGTTAGTGATATATTACAATCATCGCTCTTAGTATTAGTTAGTAAATTGTATGCTGCTCCAAATTTACCGCGTAATCATGTCCAAATTATTGTAGATGAAACAAAAGATTTTGTCGATCATGTATTGACACTTATTAAACCGGCAATCATACGTAATTGCGATGACCAAGAAAAAAATAGACTTTTCTTATCAAGTAGATTCTTTTAGAAAAGCTGTTTTACAACCTTTTGAATCTATGAGTACTGAATATAGGCGTATGAAATTGTTTTCTGAAAATGGACATCTTATTCATCCAGAAACTATCATAGTTGGTGATAGTGTCCAACATGTGAGAAAAGATGGTAGACTTGTTAAAGAAATTATTCCACTCACTGCTCAATACATTAGTCTTAAAGAAACTTTGCGTGGTTTTTTTAGTCTAGACAATGTTTTTGAAACAGTTATGGATAATGTAGAAAAACTTGAAAATGAAAAGGAGGTAATTTCTAATTTTATTCAGGGTGATTACTGGCAGTCTAAAAAACTGTTTTATCCAGATAAAATAGTTTTTCCAATTCTTGTTTTTTTTATGAGTTTGAAGTCAATAATCCTCTAGGGTCTCACAAAGTTATTCAAAAACTTGGTGGTACATATTTTGTTGTACCTTGTCTTCCCCCTGAATATCAATCTATGTTAGAAAATATTTTTGTCGCTCTTGTATGCCATGCATCTGACAGGAAAAATTTTGGCAATTCTATGATATTTCGTATTATCATTGATTATATAAATTATCTTCAGAAATATGGAATTGTCATAAAAACAAAAGATGGGGAAAAAAGAATTTATTTTGCACTAGGTGGAATTTTAGGGGACAATGAAGGCTTAAACGGAATTCTAGGTTATATTCCAAGTTTCAATTCCCATTTTTATTGTCGTTGGTGCAAAACGCTCAAGATTTCAACTCATACCGATTGTTTTGAAAGAAAAGAAAATTTAAGATCTGTTGAAAATTATGAACAAGATGTCCTTTTAGGTAAAGAAAAAACTGGAATTGTCGATAATAGTATTTGTAATGAAGTTGATGATTTTAACGTCTATGATAATTGTATTGCTGATATTATGCATGATGGTCCAGAGGGAGCTTTTGCTTACGATATGGAACATATCGTTGGTCATTTGATAAACAAAGCTGTAAACCCAATTCCTCTTCATGTTTTAAATGACAGAATATCTGCATTTGATTATAGAAAGCATGGATTTTCCTGTCGCCCACCTCTAATTTCAGAATCAGAAGTTAAAAATAAATTTTTCAAAATGTCAGCCTCTGAAATGATGTCTTTTATCTATACTTTTTCCCTACTTGTTGGAGATTTAGTATCACATGACGATGAGGTTTGGGATTTTTATCTTTCTCTTCGAAAGATTGTTGACATTGTAATGGCTCCAGCAATTCAAAGAGAATGTGCAGACTTGTTGACTGTCCTAGTTTCAGAGCATCACGAAATGTATTGCAGGTTGTTTAATGACACTTTGAAACCGAAACATCATCACATGGTTCATTATGCGCGGGTTATCAAAAGTTGTGGTCCACTTATCCATTTAAGTGCCTTTAAATTTGAGTCGAAAAATGGGGTTATGAAAACTCGTAGTGTAGCCACTTTTTCTCGAAAAAATATTGCATATAGTTTATGCATGAAAGAACAACTCCAACAAGCTTATAGGTCTGCTAGTAATAAGGGTTTTGAAAAAAGATTGGAATTAGGACCTTCTTCTATTGTAGAGGACATGAATGCAATAAACGATAGTTGTGACTTGACAAAACTTGAATTTACAAATACATTTTTGACTGCGTGTTTGGAAGTACCTTGGGTCAAATTTAAGGGTACTCGCTATCAAGTAGGAATGTGTGTAGCCATCAATTTTGACGAGGAAAGCAGTCTTCCCGTTTTCGGTGATATTGACCGAATCTTTTCCAACGAAAGTGGGAATGTGTGTTTTGTATATAATGAATATTATACTATAGGATTTAACGAAACTTTGCACTCTTATGAAATCATTTTAAATGGACGCTCAAAAACTATTTTAATTGAGGATTTAATGTCATTCCGTCCTGTCATAAATGTGAGGTTGTTAGACAAAGTGTATGCGTCATTTAGATATGCTGTGTAAATAAGTCAGCTTTGAAGTAAACTGAGGATTTTAATAATTAAAAAAAAATTATAAATGTAAATTTTGCGATATATCTTGAAAATTATTAATTATTAAATTATTAGTTTTAAGTTATTAATAATAATTTTATTACTATTCATGTATGTTTTATATGTTATTAAAAAATAATAATGAATAAAATGTTTATACAGAAGTTATTTATATTTATGATCTTTTACCCTAAAAACTAATTTTTTAATATGAAAATTTAACAAATTAAATGATTCTAGTCACCAAATAGTCAAGGTGCACTGTCCATAAAAAATTGTTAAAATAACTTATTTATTTGTTACACGATACATTTCATTGGATACTGTAACCAACATACTAGTCGTATACTCTAATATAGTTGCTTGAGGTATCAAACCCGAAAGGTCTGCTACCTATCGAGTTGGTCAGGACAGCCAACTCTTTTGGTGCACGGTACATTTCATTAGACACTATGACCAGCATACTAGTTGTATACACTAATACAGTTGCTTGAGGTATCGAACACAAAACGTCTGCTAGGTTTTAACATTAGACAGCAGACTTTTAAAAACTCCTTTTATTTTTCTAAACATTCTTAAGAAAATTTTTCTAATTTAAATATTAAATATTTATTAAGTACACTACCGTCCAAAAGTATCAGGACGATTACATTCGATTCTATGAAAAAACATGCCACCACTTTTTCAATCATATCTCGGAAATAAAAGGAGATACAAGAAAGAATTAAATGCAGTTAGAAAGCTGATTAAATTTTGCGTAAAATAAGCCGTCTTTAAAGTCATTTCGATAATTATTTTTTGAGTTGTAGATTGAAAAAGAAATAAAAAAAATTATTAAATTTTCTCATTTTTGTCTCTTGACTTCAACTTTTTCAAAAATCTAAAAAAATTTAGATAAATGTTTTTTTAAAACACAGAAATCTTTGTTAGAATTTCAGCTTTAAAATAAGCCTTTGAAAATTAAAAAGGTTAATCCTTCTTCGATATATCATTAAAAATGTGAAGCCGTGTTTCGACCGATTGGTGCATTGAAATTCAACAGTGACGACTCGATTCTGGCTTCGCGCAGCAGCGAATGAGAGAAAACAGGGACGCATTTTTGCTTGAGAATAATAAATAATGATGTTTCACGAGTAATATAAAGAAACTTAAAAGTTCATCGTACCCCCGCAAGAATTCGTTCCTGTTTTCTCTCTTATTCGCTGCCGCGCAAAGCCACAATCGAGTCGTCACAGTTGAATTTCAATGCACCAATCGGTCGAAACACGGCTTCACATTTTTAATGATATATCGAAGACGGATGAACCTTTTTTAATTTTCGAAGGCTTATTTTAAAGCTGAAATTCTAACGAAGATTTCTGTGTTTTTAGAAAAATTTTATCTAAATTTTTGAAAAGTTGAAGTCAAGAGACAAAAATTAGAAAATTTGATAATTTTTTTTATTTCTTTCTCACTCTAGAACTTAAAAAATAATTAACACAATGACTTCAAAAACAGCTTATTTTACGCAAAATTTAATCAGCTTTCTAACCGTATTTAAGTTTTTTTTGTACCTTCTTTTATTTTCGAGATATGATTGAAAAAGTGATGGCATGTTTTTTCATAGAGTCGAATGTAATCGTCCTGATATTTTTGGACGGTAGTGCATATTCAATATACTATAATTTTTCAAAAAATATGTATAAGGGTAATTTCATTTAAATTGTCATAATCGTGTCCTTTGCCAATAAAAACTTTTTGTTATAGTTTTTGGTAAAATTTATTATTCAATGCCGTGAAATGCAATCTCTTTTAACATTTTTTTAACTTACAAGCATGTTAAGATGCTATGTATAAGAATATCAGAACGAAATTCAGGTAAAATGTCATGAGTGTCCTATGTCCAGGAATGAATTATTATTTTTCAAGTGAACGTATTTCCGTAATTTTAATTCATCACAAGTAAAACAAAATTTTGCAGAGAATTATAACTTCCATATTTAAGAAAAATTAACTGCTGATAACTTTATTTAATTGTTTACCCTTTTTAAAAAAATAAAAATGACGTGTCCCTCACTTTTACATTGTTTTACTTTGAATGCAAAATTTTGTATTTATGCGTGCCCAAAGATTTATCCAGTTAGCAAAAAAAACTGTTTTACTGACGAATCCGCAGCAGAAGATAACGACGAATCAACTGAAAAAAATGTCGTGTTTCCAAATGTGACAGTTTCGTGGCAGAAAAAAAAGATTTTAATGTAATTAGATAACTGTCATGAGTGTCCCGTCTTAAAATTGGTAAATTAATATTTTATATTCAATATCAAAATGAAATTAATAATTGTTTTGGATTCTCTTTCGAATGAGACCAGAATTGTCGATATAAAATTATAAATATAACCTGTTCATAGATATAAGCAAAAACGA